CCATCCCACAAGGAATAATCGTAGGTCACCTAGTTCAATTGTCAGTATGCTTTCAACTCGAGTCAGGTTTATATGATTGTCAAGGAACTTACCACAATCTGAGAGTCACGAGCTTCATCCGTCAGTCCATCGACGGTTAGGCTCAATGCCGTGCGTCCCAGAGTGTCCATGAACGTCTTGTGCTCGGACACGTCGGCCTGGATCTGGCTGGAGTTAGGGAGTCCATTGCTGGAAACCTTTTCCATCATCTCCCAGCGAACATTCCGGGCGCCTTCGGGAAGGATCACTCGCACAACGACCTTCTCATACTGGATGCCCTCGGAGGCCTTGGGTCCTTCGATGAAGGGAACCTTGAGCACGTAAGAGTCAGAACTGCCGACGGCCCGACGAAGGAACGTGGAGAGGTCGTTGTTCCAGCCGACGCGGAAACTATAGTTCCAGCCACCAAAGATGGGGAAACGGGGGCGAAGCTCCAATGATGCGTCGCGGCTCGGAACCTTCCCAGGACGGTAGCGGCTTGTAGAAACATTGCCGATATCATCGATAAAATATGGGTCCACGGAGCCGGGCTTCAGGGGGTACTTCAGCTCGCGAATGGAGGAAGAGGGGAGTTGCTGATAGCTGCTGAGGGTCCACTCGACGCGCGAGAAGTGGTCCAAGAGTTCAGAGCCATTGTTGCGCAGCCAGTAGCGCTCCTCCGTGGCCAGGTTGCCGCCCCAATGAGAAACCTCCAGGTCGCGCTCCAGCAGCGAAGCCGTGATGACCGGCTTGGTGAACTCATAGCGAACGACGATCGGGTAGCTAGTACCGGGCGCAACCTGAGCCGTGTCATAGGGTCCGTACGTGTAGCTGGTACCCAGACGCTCCGGGTCCGCACCCGACTTCAAGTCCGTGGCCGTACATTCCGGGACATTGGTGCTGGGAAGCTTGAGCTTGGTCTTCTGCGTCACTGTCGTGTATGCTGACGGAGCATAGGCGGAGAACGAATAAGTGAGGTACTGTCGGTCCATCTGTTTGATAGCGGCCGGGCGCGGGCTGAAAGAGTTGAGGACAGAGTAGGAGATTCCCAAAGTGATCTGAGAGGAGGGCGGCAGGGGTTCGGAGAAGTGAACGATATAGTATTGGAAATCCCTGTACGTCAAATATAGCATACATCAGTCTTAATTCGCCGGGGGAGTATGGAGGAGTGCTTGCGGATCAAGCAAACGTGGCATCGTCACCGGCATCACCACGAGCCAACGAGCCATTGGCGACTAGAATGACCAACTCACCTGCTTGGGTCAATTTCAGTAGCTTGCACATTGAGCCTGCCCTTCTCCGGAGCTGATTTATCGCGGACTTCGAGGACTGCGACCTTTTCGTAGAGGTCGGATGGCAAAGTCAAATAGTAGTCACTCTGAGCTTGCTTGGCCACATTCTCGACCACGACATTGATGGTCTCACGGAGGTAGCTCTTCTCCAAATTGGTGTTTCGGACCAAATTGGTATTCTTGAATACTTGAGCGGGCTGGAAGTTGCCGGGAAGAGCGACTGGCGAGCTTGACGATGTGGAATCGGCGCATACAAAGCTCCTGGTGGACAGAAACAGTCCGCACAGCGCGGTGAGTGCGGAAAAGGGCCTCATTGTGACAAATGGGCGGCCGTGAAGCAGACCGCGCCTAAAACACAATGTCTCTCGCCAGGAGAAGATTAAGAGAGGAAAAAAAGATATAATCAGCAATGAAGAATAAGAGGCAAGTCAAGAGGGAATTGGGCGAGCGGGAAAGAGACGCGGAGATGCTGAGGTGTCCCGATTCGGGGCGATTACGAGTTCCGGCCGGACTTCTCCACCCGCTAGCTAATTCGTAACCTCCTTCTCCGCCTTTCCGCCATTATCACCACAACAGATGAACCATACTATCTTCTTTCCTGCATCGGTTGTCCTCCCAGGCCACCCGCGCACCTTTAACCAGTCCTCATCTCCTCTAAGATGCTCATATGAGCTCGAACTCTCGCAATTGTCTTAGAGATCTTTCCATTCGAATATAGAATCTACCAAGTCTTGTGCAACAGCTGTCAAATGCTCGCCTCTCGAGTGGCCGCTCGCACATGCGGGCGGACAGTGAGAACCGCAGGCCTACCTCGACGGTACCATGGCCTTGCTAATAGTAAAATGTTCAAAGTATCGGAGGAGGTTCGCGATGCCGTGGCCACGGGGAGACCTGTGGTGGCCCTTGAATCAACTATCTATACACATGGTAAAGCTCTCATCAGGCGTCGCACAGTAGATCGGCTGAGGCATTGCTGACGAGAGCAGGATTCCCCTATCCGGAAAGTGTCGCATTGGCAACGCTGTTGGAATCTGTAGTACGTGCCAATGGCGGCGTTCCTGCTACCATCGGAGTTCTCTATGGCGAAGCCCGGGTTGGCCTCAACGCAGAAGAGCTCATCGAGTTAGCATCTACTGCGGAGAAGAAGAACGCTTTGAAAGTGTCCCGGAGGGATCTGGGATACATTTGTGGTCTAGTAAGGCAAAAAGTCTGTAGCTGGCTTGGAAATGTTGTTCTAACTTTTGTATCAGGGACTAGCTGGCAAAAGATTACACGGCGGTACAACAGTGTCCGGCACGATGGTGCTGGCTCATCTGGCTGGAATCAAGGTGTTCGGAACGGGAGGCTTAGGTCCGTACTCCCAAGCTAGGGCAGTTCTCAAACAAGCTGACTTGTCATAGGAGGCGTACATCGCGGTGGAGAGAATTCGATGGACATCTCTGGTGCGTAGAATTATCCTTGCTATCTTTTTCCCCGCTAATGTTGATATAGCTGATCTCACCGAGCTGGGACGAACGCCAGTGGCAGTCGTCAGCTCTGGGTGTAAGAGCTTCCTGGACATCCCGCGTACCCTGGAGTATCTCGAGACAGAGGGAGTCTGCGTGGGGACCTTTGCAGATGGCCGTCAAGGGGCCGTGGATTTCCCCGCCTTCTATACTCGCGACAGTGGCCTCAAGAGTCCGAAGATCATCCATAATGAGGCTGAAGCGGCCGCAATTATCTGTAAGTGGCACATCATAGGAGTTCCTGTTTACTCTCGGCGGTATCTCTGCATTCTCGCCAATCGGCGTTTGTCAGCACTGTGCGATGAGGCCGCTAATTCCATCACAGACGCACAGACACAGATTCCTGTCTCGTCCGGTATTCTCCTTGCTAACCCTGTCCCCCTCCAGCATTCGATTGCAAGAAGTGAGATGGATGGCATCATCGATGAGGCCATTCGTCTTGCAGAAGTCGAAGGGCACCAAGGGAGTGACAATACGCCATTCGTACTTGCAAAGATCAAGGACCTTAGTGGTGGGAAGAGTGTAGTAGCCAACCGAGCCCTTGTCGAAGCTAATGTGGAGCGTGCAGCCAAGGTAGCTCTGCAACTCTCGAAACTCGAGCGATCTGGCGGGTCATTGAACGAACGGTGAGTACTCATGTTTTTTTAAAGATCAGCATAGAGACACCCTAATGTCGATATGGTCGGCGCAGATACATGCCAGCTATCTCCGAGACCACTGGGACTGACCGAGCAACTGCAGAAGCAGAGCTGGACCTCAGTTCGACCACTGAACAGTTGACCAAGGGTGTTGCCAAGGCGGACATTGTTGTGGCAGGCTCGCTGGCAATTGATTTGTCCTGTGACTTTAGTCCTACTGAGTCAACGACTTCTCCCGTCTTAGAGACATCCAATCGCGCAGTCATCGGACAAAGCCTTGGAGGGGTGGGTCACAATGTGGCTATCGCGGCGAAATACCTCAACAGCTCTGTTCTCTTCTGCAGTATAGTTGGGGATGATTTAAGTGGCCGCACCGCGCTCGCTTCCCTCCGCGATGAGAAGCTGCCCATAGCCGGTATTCGTGTTCTTCCTGCATCATCAGGAGCGCGTACTGCGCAGTATGTGGCCGTCAACGATGCGAAGAAGGATCTCGTTGTCGCTATGGCTGATATGGCCATTATGGAATTGCCCGCACAAAGTCTAGATTTTGACGGATTCTGGGAGCCATTAATTGCGCAAGCTCAACCAAGATGGGTGGTTGTGGACGCGAACTGGAGCCCCGAAGTGCTTGTGAAGTGGATGACAGTTGCAAAGAAGCATGGGGCTCGAACGGCCTTCGAACCCGTCTCGACCGCCAAGAGCCGTCGATTGTTCGGCCGGCGCTCCGCTGCCGTCACGCCTTCCGAATGTGTTCCTAATAATACCGTTAGTCTCGCGGCACCCAACCAGCTGGAGCTGACAGAGATGTACGCGGCTGCGCGGGATAATGGTCTTCTCGAGTCCGAAGACTGGTGGCATGTCATTGACGCCATGGGGATGTCTGCGTCTGGATCGCGGGACCGATTGGTAGCCATGACCTCGGCCGAGCTCGTGGATCAAGGCATTCCGCAGCAAAGCATCCAGCTTCTTCCCTTTATCCCGTGCATTGTCACCAAGCTGGGCAGACAAGGCGTCCTTCTAACACAGCTTCTCCGTCCGGGAGACGCGCGTCTGACCAGTTCGGACACCGCCCCATATATCCTATCCCGTGCGCCCACCGACCATGCAGTGGTCGGGGGAGTTTACATGCATTTGTTCCCCCCAGCAGCGGTACTTGCGGAGGAAGATATTGTCAGTGTCAATGGGGCTGGAGATACTCTCCTGGGGGCGGTAGTAACGGGTTTGGCCCGCGGCCATGTGGTAGAAGAGGTGTTGTCTTTGGCGCAGGAATCCAGTGTTTTGACGCTTCAGTCCCCTGGAGGCGTGAGTCGCGAAATTCGCAAGCTCAACTTTCCATGATATCGAGGAATTCATTGAGATCGAGCCTCCTTTTGACCTCATAAATGCACAGTTGATCTTGCTATTGGAACAAATCACAGCCATCATGCTCATCACACAATTGTCTATCATAAGAGAATTCTGCAGCCAGAAGATGATCAAGTCCCACGCTATGCCGTACCATAAAGTCATCATACATAATAGCAAAAACCATCAATCTCAATATTAATTCAGACAGTAATCCTCTCCACCGCTTCTGCCCCGACCACCGGCAGCCGCTCGACGACTTTCGTCCCTGCGCGATTCAACCCCGTGGGGCTGAACCCAGCCGGCACAACCGCCGGATCCAACAAGCCAATCTGCACCAAGACGCTCGCCTGATCCCAATAAACATTGAGACGGGCGACTTTCCCCGCGCAGAAACTCGCCGTCATGACGAGGGCGATGCGCACGGGCCGACCCGTCGGTGGGACCGAGGGCAACAACCACGGAATCTCTTCGCTGTGGGTGAATGAAAAGTGCAGCTCATCGACGATGCGATCCGCGCCGGTAGTGCGTGAGAGGAGGCGAATCCGTTGATCAGGAGGCCCCGTCGGCAGGAATTGGGTGTTGAAAAAATGGGTAAGGGATTTGGGGGTGGTGCCTAAATCATATCAGAAACAATTGTTATATATACTCGGGTATATGAATTATTGTTTCGACTCACCTCCCATCATAGTCGGCACACAATTCACCAGTGGAGTTCCCAGAGAGGTATGGTCGTCATCATTGGGCCCCGATGCGTTCAACTGCACTCCACTACTGCTCCCTATCATCAGCCCGACAATTTGGGCCGCCAGTTGTTCTCGCTCATCTGTCACCGCAGTAGACGGGTCTTGTTGCTGACCGGCCATGGTGCAAGATTCCGACGACGCCGCCAGACACCGCCAGTATTCTTCCCAGACGGTCTCTACATCCGGGACCTTCCATCCCCCGCTGTTCCCGGGCCAGCCGAAACCGCGCTTCAGGGCCTCGAGGGCTCGCGACCAGGCTAATCGCGCGGCGATGCCGTCGTGGTTTGGTGAGGAGGGCTCTGCAAACCCTGCATTGGATTCTGGGTAGAAGAAGCAGTGGCAGCGGTGACGCTTGCGGGTATGTGTGGGTGCGGAGGGCTCAGGGCCAGCTGAGCAGCGGTCTCCGGCGAGATGAATCTGGATGGGAAGAAGGGTCACCGATGGAGGGTAGGTCGTTGGCGCAGTGGAGGAAGAGGTAGTCGTGTTGGCATTTGTAGGAGCGGTAAGGACTTTGCTAATGGGACTGCCGTTTGCGTTGGTGGAGAGATGGTCGAGGCAGTTGTCAAAATCATGGGGGTAGTAGGCTACCAGAGCGCAAAGTCGGGGGAAGGGGTTGGTGGATGTTGCTGGTTGATGGTGAGACTCGAGAAGTAGTGAGGCCGGTTTGTTGTAGGCTAATGAGGAATCCTTTAGCTACAGTTTCACAGTGTACGGACATCCACCCAGAGGGTCTCTGGATTATACTAGTCCAAAGGGCAAAAAGGGTGTCTGACCGACCACGGCATATCGTTCCCCGGGCTCAAGGTCATCCTCCCGTTCATGCAGGAGATACTCGAGGTCTTTTCGATCTCGCTCGCGGTCTGTGTGATATCTTCCAGGGAAGGGCAAATATTCAACATCGAAACCCTCTGCACGGAGTCGGGCTATGATGCCGGCGTCGAATTCGAGGGTATCGGAGGTCAGATACAGCCGACGGGGCGCACCAGTGTCTGAATCTTTGCGACGAAGGTCGACACCGGGGGGTGATTGAAGAGGAGTTGTGCCAGAAGAACTACTTCGACGTCGTCGAAAATGCTGGCGAAGGCGTTCCATGGGGGAGAGCGATATTGGTTTAGGGTTGACTGAGAATGGGTAAGACAGCAAACAGTTATGTACATTTGAGTCAGAAAATCAAGAGCGGCACTGAGGAAAGCGGTCCAAATATAGATTAAGGAAATCCGACCGCCTCAAGATCAGGCAGGCGTGTGGCATGCTGGGCTGACGTCGATGAGTTTTGCCCAGTTTCTTGGGTCGACGTGGAACCAACCGGAGTTTCGCTTGGCCTCTTTGGAAGACCACAGAGGTGATTAATCAGTTTGGCCTGCAAGATGAAATGTATAGTAGATTGTATGGTGTAAATTGTGATTGTATATGTAGGTGTATTTGCATGTTGTGTGGATGTCTATATATCGCTCATCGTCGATCAGTGGGACGGCGATGAATAGCCGTTCCGTTCCGGGGTGTCTCTCCCTCTCTAAATCTAAATGCACATATATGGTCAATGTGAATTAGCACATGTGTGTACAAACGCACCATTATGACGCATGTCCGTTATTGTGATTCGAACCGGGTCAGCCATTGGCGCGCCTCCCTTACGTCCTCCGCGCATTCTTCCCCGGCCAGATAACACGCATATGCTGGCCGCTGCAGACTCCGACGCGCCACCTCACAGTCCAGGCGAATATCCTCCACCAATGCCTCAAGTGATACATAATCGTACTCTGGTCGGATGTATCCCAAGATCAATAGGCGCAGGTCTGTGCCATAGAAATCCGGGAGCTTGTGGAACTTCGTGGGACCGCCGTCCGCGGTAGGGGACGGCGCCGAAAGAGATGGCATGATATGAATTTCCTAAGATCACCGGGATGTCAATTACTGAACAATCGAGCCCGAAAGGAAGGGATGCCTTACGATCGACCGTGTCTGGTTCTTATAAAAAGGATTGTACCCAATGCTCAACACGGCCGGTCGGATCGGCGACGAGGCATCCTCAAAGGCGAATCGGGCCGGATCCAAGGCCACCACCCCATAGTAAACGCCCACCTGCAGGTCCGGATATGCAGCGAGGCCCTCGGCCGGAATGTTGGCGGTTGGAATACCCAACTGCAAGATGAACGCATGGTCAGCCTCGCACTGTATGTTGGGATCGGCGGACATTCAATCACCTCTTTGCTGCCCCGCCCAAAGCCCTTGATGACCGGGCCGGCCAGGCGGATGGGATAGGGAGGCTTCGGGCCTCCATCAGGCCCGGTTACAGGATCTCGAGGGCCATCCGGTCGCATGGTCGGTCTGCTGGTGCGAGAGAAAGAGTGGAGGGGAAATGAAGAAGAACTGGAATGGACAAGCTGCTGTTGTTGGGATTTCAGAGAAAGAGACCGAAAGATTACGAAGAGGGAAAGCGGCGATAAGAAGTCGATGCGATGCGGGGGAAGCGGGCGGGCGGGCGGGCGGGCGGGCGGTGAGAACATCACCAACTGGCAAGCGGATTCCATCATCGACAGTCAAAAGTCAACTGTATGGACTGCAGGACAACGTCCGGTCCTGCTTGACTAGTACTTGCTGTACAGTACATACTGTAGACGGGACAATAGGATAATGGGCACTTGTTTGAATTGAACGCTTTTTTATACCATTAACTCCGTACCTCTAATATAAAGGGTAGTATGTGGAAAATCTCGTAATACACTCGCTATTTACTCCATCTCAATGGTGGCAGGGGGCTTGCTAGAAATGTCGTACAAAACACGGGACACTACAAATCACAATCAGTAAGTTCACTCGTGGAACAAGATCCGAACTCAAAACTTACCACCATGGACCTCGTTGATGATGCGGGTCGAGCAGCGGGCCAGGAACTCGTTGTCGAAGGGGAAGGCACGGGCAGTCATGACTGGTAGATAGTTAGTCGAGGTGAGTCATGTTCAAAACAAAAAGAGCTACTTACAATCAGTAGTCTCGACAGCACGCAGGATGATGATCTCAGCATAGACACGCTTGTCGCCCTGTGAAAGTTGACATCAGTATTAGAATCGGATTCTCTGGCAATTGGGTAGGGGAACCCATCCTTACCATAACACCAACAGCCTTGCTGGGGTCCAAAGCGGCATAGGCCTGAGCGATCTTGTCATACAGACCAGCCTCGCGGATCATGGAAATAAAAATGTGGTCGGCACGGCGGGCAATCTCAACACGCTCGGGGGTTACCTCACCCAGGACACGGATGGCAATACCGGGTCCGGGGAAGGGGTGGCGCATAACCAGCTCGTGGGCAATGCCCAGCTGGCGGCCCAGGGCGCGCACCTCATCTTTGAAGAGCTCGCGAAGAGGCTCGATAAGCTTCATACCCTGACCATCAATCATGCGCTCTGCATATAGTTAGCTTTGCAACTTCTTCAGATAGGAGGGGAATTAAGCAAGTTAACGTACGGGGCAGACCGCCAACATTGTGGTGGGTCTTGATGGTGGCAGAAGGACCCTTGAACGAGATACTCTCGATGACATCAGGGTACAGGGTACCCTGCAAGAACCACTTGATCTTGGCACCAGCATGCTCGGCCTCGGCCTCGATCTTCTGGGCCTCCTCCTCGAAGACGTCAATGAACGTGCCACCAATGAACTTGCGCTTCTTCTCGGGATCGGTGACACCCTTAAGTCCATCCAAGAAACGCTTGGAAGCGTCCACAACCGTCAAGTTGATGCCCAGGTGCTTGTTCAGAGTCTCGGAGACGATATCGCATTCGTTCAGACGCATGCATCCGTTGTTGACAAGAACGGCGTGGAACCGGTCGCCAATAGCCTCCTTCATCAGCTTGGCAGCCCTAGTGATGGGTGTTAGCACTTGCAGGCTAGCAAGAAACTTGAGCCCGGCACTTACACGGTGGAATCAACACCACCACTCACAGCACCCAGCACGTGATCGGTCTCACCGACCAATTTGCGGATGCGGGAAATTTCCTGGTCGACGAAGCGAGACATGGTCCAGTTCTGTTGAGCGCCGCAAATGTCGACGGCAAAGTTCTTGAGGAGGGTTGTGCCTAAGCCAGTCAATACCTAGCAGCTACAACGAGTCATACATCCCAATCATATTTCAGCGTACCTTTAGGAGTGTGGGTGACCTCGGGGTGGAACTGGACACCGTAGATGGGCTTGGACTCGTGGGCAATACCAGCGTACGGGGAGTTGGCGGAGGTGGCAATGGTGTGGAAGCCCTCGGGCAGCTTGGCGAGCTTGTCACCGTGGCTCATCCAGACCAGCATGTCATCCTCAATGCCGGCGAACAGCTTGTCGACGTGACCCTGGGAGTCGAGGCGCTTAGCGTTCAGGTCGGCATGACCGTACTCGCGCTCGGTGCCGGCGATGACGTTGCTCTTGTCCAATCGGTAGGCGATTTCTTGCAGACCATAGCAGATACCGAGAATCGGAACTCCAAGGTCGAAGAAGGCGGGATCGACGTGGGGGGCTGTAGAAGGTGACCGGGTGGAATGAGTAATCCGGCAGGGAGAATCGAGCTTTCATGATTTACTTACCACCCTCCTCATAGACACTGTAGGGACCACCGGAGAGAATGATACCCTTGGGCTTGAAAGGGAGATCGGCTAGCTTCTGAGTGCAAGGAAGCATTTCACTGTAGACATTGATCTCTCTCAGTCTCCGGGTCAGGAGGTGAGTCTGGATGGTAGAAAATGTGTCAGTGACTCAGGTTGCGATAGGCGGGGTACATTGAACTATTCCGACACTCCAAAGGAGAGGAAGCGGGGAAGAGACTAACGTATTGAGAACCAAAGTCCAGAGTAAGGATGGTGTCAAAGGTAGCATGGGGGATCTCCTGGTCGGCCATGATGACGGTTCTTTCAATTGCTCGTCCCAATTGAAGAGAGAATACAATGGGGTTGAATGATGATGGCGAGGAAGAGAAGGTCGGAGGGGAAAGCGGGCTTGCACTTTTTTTTTCTTTCCCTTCCCGTCGCATTTCTCTGCCGGGCGGTGAGATGCGCCCGATGACAGTCCCCAGCCGGCCGGGCGGTCAAGGAGATAACGCTTGACGATTATCTCACGTGGTTCCGGGCCAGAATAACAGGTTGCTTATATAGGTTACTCATCCGAACTACCTCGCTGACATAATCTGGCTCATTGCCCTAAATTTGCACTGTGCCTGGTTACCGGTAAATAAGTTAGTTGCTCACTAGAACTCGAGTTGGGATTTCGCTTTGCAGCAAGAACCCCAGCAAGAACCCCAGATCATCACAAGGCTCGTGGCATTGGAGGAGTACTGAAGATGATAAAAATGGAGTTTAGCGAGTTGCATCTGAGCATATCATTGGCTATGTTTCTCCCAAACACGCTTTTAGCGCAACGCCGGTCGGAAGGTGGTGGCGATGCTGTACTGGCGAGGCGCCCACATGCTCTGGTCTGCATCCATAGTCTAGTCTGAAAACAATTTCAATGGTTAACTTACATCCATATACTTCCCGTCTGTAAATGAACCAATCCATCCTGCAAGCCACCAAGGCTAACACTCCCATTCGAAAATCATGATACGAGCTGGGAGCCATAAAAAGGGGGAGAAAAGGGGTGGTGGACAGAAATGGGAGGTAACTTATGAACTGTCTGTCTATCAGAAAGAAACACCTTCATTCCGGATGCACGCTTCCATGCTCTCTCACCGAATGAATCAACCCACTGTTTCATCACGGCACGACTGGGCAGCCTCGATGAAACAGGCAAATGGGACCTGTAGGCAACGCCACTGAAATCACTTACACTTGGCTGGGGAGAGCCAATAAAGTGGACCGTGAACAGGTCTATCCTGGGTCAACACGAAGGAAAGGGTCCGCGCGGGTTAGATTGAGCCGCAGAGTTGTATGTTTGTCTTTGCCTACTATTTGCTATGGAGCACTGAGCGAGTGGTACCTGACTCTTCATTCAATCAACTGGATGTTCAGATCCTGAAGGATTCTCCCAGTGGAGGCTGGACTAAACCATACCACCAGACAGACTCGATAATTCTTTGTGGCTATAATACCTATAATGCCTGATCTCTCCGTCCCTGGACCCTTTTCACTCTCTTTTTTCTTCCCCTCTTTGTGCAGTAATTCTTTGTCCGCTCTTTTTCCATATTCCTTCTCCCGATAAATTCTTAATAATCTTCGTCCAGGAAAGAGGACTCTGCCTAAAGTCCATCCATTCATTCTCTATCTACCGTCGAAATGCGCACCACGACTTTCTTGACCACTGCTGCCACCCTTGGCCTGGCAACCCTATCTACTGCCGCCAGCACTACTACCATCAACCTCTTTCAGCCTGGTGAGGAGACCATTCCCTACAATGATGTGGAGGCGAGCATCATCGGGGTCACTGGGGATACCACTACTGTTGCTATCGTCTGCGGTCCTTCCGCCGCTGCATCGACTTGTGCCCTGCACAGCCCAGTCACCATTACTGAGGGTCCTTCTACTTTCACTGTGAGCGCCGTCATAACTTCTACTACGGACGATGCAGAATATACGGTCACCCTCGTTGAAGACTGCGATATCACCTCTGTGACTCAAGGTGCCTCCTGCTCCATTTCCATGGATTACACTATCGCCTACAGCGGCGAAACCACTTCTTACTCAACTGCCGCGGAAGCCTCTCTGCCTGCTCGCCTAATGAAGTACTCTCCCGTGACGGTCACTGCGGGCGCCGACAAGTTGTCTTCCTCTGCTGCTAAAGCAACTGGGACTTCTTCTGGCTCTTCTAGCGCTGACAGCAAGAACGATTCTACCACTACTGCCACTGGCAGCGCCGCAACCGAGAGTGCATCTTCTTCCAAGACCTCCTCGGGCTCGAATGCCTCCAGTACCCCCAATAGCGCAGCTGGCCACCAAGCCATGACTCTGGGTGGTGCCCTTGCTGCTGCTTTTGTTGCCGTTATTGGCTTGCTGTGAGCGGTGGTTGGGGTGACTGACTGACTTGCTGCTTGGTCAAATGCGCCGAGCGTCATCAATGGAACGGTCTCGTCGTAAATCAATCACTTCTTGCCTACATATTTGCATCTTCCCCCACATACTTCTTGATGCCTCCTATCTTTTTTCTGGCTACTCGAATAACGCGACCAATTCAGGCTATCTTTGCAACCTTTCAATGCGCATTCTCACCATGATAACGAGCTGGAATGAGCACCAAGGTTGAGATTCTGATTTATTGCTGTTGAATAAATCAAACGAGACTTCATTATATATCCATCTATTTCACTGTAGACTTCACCGCGTCAGTGCCAACCGATAGACCTTGTAGCCGACTAGGAAGTAACCTGTAACTTTGAAGCTCCTGCGATTAACCTAAATGGGCATAGTACAGTACAGTACATATGTATGTACTGTACTATACAGAATGAGTTCTCTGTCATATCGTCAAGCACTTTGCTAGCTGATCAAATATCAATTTGCTGACTGATCTGCATAGATGTGATATATCCTACCTTTACCCCACGCTCTAGTCGGAGTTTAGGTAGACTGGTACCTAGTAGTATGTGTAGGAGCTGCTATTGATCTGCGCTTGTTCTTCAGGACAATGGTTGGTAATGTTCTGGAGACAGCCAATCACTTGCCGTAGCTTCAAATTAGTCAGCTCTGTTTGTTTCCCGGGGGGGGCGAGGAGAGGTTTAAGGTCACGGGTTGGAGATTGAGCCTTCAAGGTTGAGGGGGGGAAAGGGTTCATTGACTAATCCCAAATTAGAAGCAAGGGTCGGGCTCCATCCATGATCCAGTCCATCCATGATCGATCACTACTACTACTGAGTCCATCACGTCACACGCGCACCACCACCACTAACTTACTCGGTACTTCCACCGACCGCCCTCGAAGCGGTGTCACTCTCGAACATCGTCCTCCCCCCCCCCCCCACCTCCGCATGAATCAAAGTAGACAAGGAAGAAGAAGAAAAAATCCTGAATATATAAGCGACCTGATTGGTGTGGGAATTATCTACGCTAGTTAATCAGACGGTCGATATCTGATTTTCATATTGTATAATTAACTTATTCTCTTCTACTGCTTCGAAATCAGCCCCCACGAGAAAGTGTTTTTCTCCCTATGCCCGCGACACGACCGTCCATCGCAAGATAGGCAAACCCGCCGCCATCTTGCATCACTAGTGGAACTGCTCGGTCCTCTACTCCTATCGCCACTGCTGCTCCAAGTTCATCTTCTGAGCATCTCTCAAATCCCTCCCCCTCTTCTCTCGCTGCTTTTTGCATTTCTAGACAGTGAGGAACGATCTTGACGGGCGCCATGGCCCGTATATCGCCCACTGTCATCCTCGCCGCAGCGACGGTCATCGCAGTACTCAGTAGCGGCGTTGGGGCATCGTCTATCGGAGATCATTCAGCCTCCAGCGCTTCTCCTACACCCTCCCCGTCTGCTACCATGCAACAATCCGCCCCCTACCCAGCTGCCTCGGAGTCCGGGGGGGATGATGAGGATAATGGAGAGTGCAGGCTCCTTGGTCCTTTCTCGCTGCTGGTACAAGCCGCACTCGGGGCCCTGGCGCTCTTATCGCTGGTCTACAAGCGCTGGAGGGAGAGACCCCAACGACCGGTGAAGGTCTGGGCATTCGATGTTACGAAGCAAGTCTTCGGCTCGGCCATGTTGCATCTGGCCAATCTCCTCATGTCCATGTTCTCGGCCGGCCAGTTTGAGATCCAAAGCAAATACAAGCCCAACCCATGTTCGTTCTATCTTCTGAACTTGGGAATAGATGTGAGTGACCGATTCTGCTCCTGGGCAGCGCTGAAGTGATAGCCAACTAATACCCCGGCGATTGCAGACCACTCTCGGTATCCCCATCTTGATCTTCATATTACACGTCTTTAGCCGCCTCGCCATGTTTACTCCCCTTGCGAATCCGCCAGAGTCTATTGAGTCTGGAAACTACGGTCGCCCGCCCCGCGCTTCCTGGTGGTTCAAACAGTCGATGATATACTTCCTTGGATTGCTAGGGATGAAGATATGTGTCTTCTTCATCATTCAATTGCTGCCTTTTATCGTCAAGGTGGGCGATTGGGCTCTACGGTGGACAGAGGGCAATACCGCTGTCCAAATCATTTTCGTTATGCTTCTTTTCCCGGTTATCATGAACGCCATTCAGTATTACATCATCGATACCTTTATCAAAAAGCCGCTCTCTCTACCACAGGGCACTGTGGAAGAGGAGAATGGCGGTGACCGAGCAGCTGAACACGATGACGAGCACCGTCGTGGACTGCTGGCCGGCCTGGATGATGATGTTTCGTTCTCGGACGATGATTCAGTGGGTAAAGGTAGAAGGAGACCTGACTCGGGGAGCCCTACACCAGGTAAGGAAGATCTCGTACGATTTGACTCGGTGGAGTATAATCCCGTCGCTCATGGCGAGTGCAGTTCAGCATCGTCAGCGACGGTGTCGGCCAGGTCTGGAAGCGATCGTGATGGGCTCGGAGGATCATCTCCGTCGATCGAGCCGAGTGGCCAACCAACAGATACACTATAATGACTCTCCACTTACACACATGCGATCTTGCGGCGTTTGGTATTTATTCTTCTGAACTGTTTTTGATCTATGGTCCGTAAAGGCATGGCGATTACTTATATGCATATTGGTTGTGGCTGTACGAATGGACGTGTACATGAACCATTTGCCATGATGGAGTTATCTTGAAATTTGTGCAATCCTGTCCTGGCGAACTCTTATTAGTTTTTGTGATCCCTTGCCTATTTTGTAGGTGCCTGAAATTCAAGGCTATGAGAAGGGTCGGTCCACCGCAGTGCTCACCGCCCGCAACTGCCGGCCCAAGCGAAAGAAAATTATTGTCCGGCGGCGGGCATCGCATCTGCAATTCTACCTTCATGTACATTTGTCTCTAGTCGATTGCCTTCTTCTCGTGCCTTTCGCCTATCGAGAAATACTCCTTTAATTTGATCCTACTGTTTATACTTTGCTAGATTTTTCCACCAACAAGAGGTGGACCAGCCCCCAATGCCTAGTTCGACCGTCAAGGAAAAGACCCGCCAAAAGTCTGACGATGCCTCGTCGCGCTTGGTCTACGAGGAGGGCAAGCCTATTCGCGCCCAGCATGACGACGACGACGACATGACCAGCAGTGAAGGGAGTGACGATGATTCGGATGTTTTGGAGAAGGATGAGGCTGAACTCAAGCTGGAACAGATGCTCTTCGGCGACGACGATGAATTTCTCGGCGCACTGAAGACTCAGAACGAGCGCGGTCTGGTACTTGCTGATCAGAGCGATGAAGAAATGGGGGATAATGATGACTCGGAGAATGACGATGAGGAGCAAGATTTGAGTAAATTGGCTGACTCTGATGTATGCGATGGTTTTTTTGTTTCTCGTTTGTCCGCAGAAAGACATTTGCTGACAGAATTGACTCGACACAGCTGTTCTTCCTTGATTCCGGACCCGGACCTGTTTCTGACTACATTGGCGAGGCGCCTGCGACACCGTCCGATGAGGAGGCTAGCGACGAGGAGGCCAATGGCTTGCCCGCCTTGTGGCATGATAGCGACGATGACCGTCTTACAATCTCACTGGCGAGCCACCAGCGGTTGCGCAAGCTGCGCGTCGCGGAATCAGAGGACGTCATTAGTGGCAAGGAATACATTCGCCGGTTGCGCAGACAGTTCGTCCAGCTGAACCCTGTGCCCGATTGGGCAAACCCCGAGAAGAACCAGCAGAAGGATGATTCCGACGCCGATGACATGGATACGGATGATGAGGAGCGCTCTTCCACACAACCTCTCGCGAAATTGCTTCAGGGTGCCACAGATCTCGTCAAGCTGGAGGACAACACAGGTCCTGGCGGCAAGAGAAAGATGCGTCAGGAGGTCATTGACATTACGAGACTCAAGGATGTCGGCAAGGACCAGCCTGTGAGTGTGATCCTGTTCGTTTGTTCATTAGTGCAGGGAACTAACAAAAGAGCGACAGTCGGCCATCGATTCACTCTCTTTCCACCCTCATTACCCACTACTGCTCTCCTCCGGACAGGCAGCCACTCTCTTCCTGCATCACATCTCGCCCTCCGCCCTGGCTCCGAACCCTCTTCTCACATCCTTCCACATCCGCCACACGCCCCTTCACACCTCTGCGTTCCATCTGCCCAGCGGAAACCGCATTTTCGCATCTGGGCGTCGGAGATACTTCCACATCTGGGACCTGGAAACCGGCAAGGTGGACAAGGTCAACGGCACCTCGGACCGGAAGGAAGAGCAGAAGACGATGGAGCACTTCAAGCTGTCCCCGTGCGGACGGTATGTGGGCTTGGTGGGTTCGGCCCGCAAGGGCGGTGGTCTCATCAACATCCTCGACTCCAATACGGCGCAGTGGATTGCACAGGTCCGTGTGGACGGTCGCGGAGGTGTGTCGGATTTCGCGTGGTGGAGCGACGGCGAGGGTATGACAGTGGTGAGCAAGATTGGTGAGGTCTCCGAATGGGACAGCCGCGAGAACCGGGTGGTGGCCCGCTGGATCGACGCCGGCGCCGTGGGCACGACGGTACTCAGCCTAGGCGGCCGTTCCGGACGCACTCAACTTGGCGGTGACCGCTGGGTCGCCATCGGCAGCTCCAGCGGTATTGTCAACGTGTACGACCGTCGCGAATGGGCAGCCGCATATGCTACTGCTGCTGCCTCGAACACGGACGAGACAAGCCAGACTTTCATTCCTCGGAACCCCGAACCGGTACGCGTGCTGGACCAGCTCACCACGCCCATCAGCCACTTGGTCTTTGCGCCGGATGGACAGTTCTTCGTCATGGCGAGTCGCTGGAAGCGCGATGCATTGAGAATCGGTATGTTTGCTCCCCATGTCTCTCGATCTTTAACATATGCTAACTTCTAATCCAGTCCACCTCCCCAGTTGCACGGTCTACCGCAACTGGCCGACCTCCAACACCCCCTTTGGCCGTATCTCCGCCGTGGCCATCTCGCCCAACTCGGAGCAATTGGCTGTGGGTAACGAGCAAGGTCGGATCCGTCTGTGGGAGATTCGCGGATGAGAGACGTCGTGCGTCTACTTGATAGTATTATATAGACGCGTTTTATGCTTTGGATCAGTGGCATACAAAAGTAATTACATTGCACAATCTGCATTGACGTTGGCTTCGTATCTCATATCAAGCAGCAGCCGGGCTTTTTCCTCCTATGCTAACCCAAAGCTAAGCTACTCTGAATACCAAGAGTCACTTCTGGTAATTTCATCGATTCGGATATAATGTTTAGAATTAGATACTGAAGATTTTCCACGGAAATTATAATGAAACCAGTCCGCCCCCTTGCCTTTGCCCCCCATCCAAATCGAAAGGGTATCCCCTCCCCTTCGTCCCGTTCCCTTGCCGCTAATGCCCTTCCTTTCACCCTCTCTCTCAGACCTATTTTCCCTCCATTGACCTTCCCACAACCCAACAGCCCAGGGCCCATTCGTAACCTGCAATTCACAAGTCCTAACCAAGCTAGAAAGACAGGTGAACGACCAGAATCAGTACCATGATCATCTTTTGCTCGGGCTACACCAGTGGAGATCGACATAGGACCAAGCCTAGTCTGTCATATACGGGGGGAAGGAAAACTCACGAGACCATCCAGACCAATCTAGATATATCACAACAAACACAAAGTCATCACGTCAGCCTTTCGAACTTTCCCAAACTCGCAAATAAAGAAAAGAAGAGAGAAAAACAGAAGCTTACACTGCCCAATAGAGCCGAGATCTGTTTTTCCCAATAAGTAAATAGAGTCATGGTTAGCTTCCAGGTTTCATATGAAATGCGGAGGAGGGTGGTGGTGGGTGAGGTAAGTATTGCGGGTTTCAACTTGAGGGGGGGGGTTAGGGCAGAGGATGTATGAGAGAGTCTCCTTACGAAATCATCGTCGGTTTCCTGCGATGTCTCGTTAGTTACTTTCGCTGCACGGTTGTAGAGATTTTGAAGGCAAGAGGGTGGGGGAAGAGAAAACGTACACCCTGGGTAGCGGCCTTCTTACTCGGCTGGGGGGTACTGCCGGAACTGCTGCTGCTGCTGGGCTTGGAGGAAGGTGACGACGAGGGAGTCTGCGTGGCGGTGTTGGGGCTGTCCTCCATCGTGCTCATGTTCATGGGTTGCTTATTGGCCATCTCGGTGTTGCCGTGGGGGAGGGCAAGCGCCCCTGTCGCTGTCAGGGCCGCAGTGGCGAGGAGGGCGAGGGAGAATTTCATGGTGAGTTGGGAAAATGAGAGAACTCTTTGGGAATGAAAAGACGAAAGAACGAAGGAAGTGTAATAAGGTCGGAATAACGAAATCGAACAAAAAGAAAAAAGAAGGAACGTAAAAGTGCACAGGGGGCTTTAGAGCAAGAAGCTTGTATTTATTTAGGGCTTCATTGCTATGTTTCACGGGAGGGTCTGTTACATGCCAGGATGAGGAACATTCGAGGGATGGCAGGGTTTACATTGGTATCCATCTCATCTCCACTTACCCAGTGGCACGGGACACCCGATTTACTCAGAATCTACAGTAGTGGCAAAGGAGAGGAGATGGAGATCTAGAAGGGCATTCAGGGTTACTCAAAAGGCCTGAGGAAAGTTAAGTAGGGCAAGGGATGGATGTATGGATCATCCACCCCTACCACCACCTATCCGGCCCATTGAGTTGCCTGTCTATACCTTGAGTACTGACCGGTACAGGATGTAGAGGGGCAAGAGGATTCTTGAGTGATCGAAGAAATAAGGGGGAGGAAAACAAGCTCATTGACTGTTATTTGTACACTTGTACAGCATCTCAAGACAAGACATTCCACCGCGTGCTCGGAATGTTAGCCTTCAAGTTCCCTTTTCCCTCCCTCTCTTCAGCCACTTCCGCGTCCGCGGCAGCCAACAAATACTCATCTCACTTAGAGGGATCATCCAACATTCCCCCTCATGGTCCGGATCGACACAAATTGAACCATGGCAGGCAGGTATGTTTCTATTTAGCATGTATGGGTGTGGTGTACACAGTATATTGGCAATCGTCAAATTCAATGGATAGACTTGGTTACCGTCTATCGACAATTTCAAATACTTGCGTGATCCTGTCTACCGACCTGTCTTGACCTAGTGTCGGCCATTCATCGTCAATGTATGTACTGTACTGTCTCTTTCTTCTGTTCTATGTCGCTGGAGTCATCCATCCCCCCGCCAAAAAAACAGCCGCTTTCAAACACCACGCTGGAAATTCTCAAAAAGATTACCTCTTACCCCGCTTCACATATTTATAGGAGAGTCTTCATGTCGTTCGCATCGCGGATACCCACCACATTGCCAGCCTTGACACGCTTCAGAGTCAAGGCAGCAATGAGGGCGGCACCTACGCCAGAACCATCCTCGGCAGCCTGGATGCAGACCTTGTCCTGCTCCTCGGGAGCCCAGTCAAGGATTTCCCGCAGCGCCTGAGCACCACGGGCCTTGAAGTGGGGGTACTTGGTGAACACGGAACCATCGGCACCCACGTGGCACGACTCGATGTTCTTCTTCTTGCAGATGGCAGCAACACCGCAGGCCGAAAGGCGAGCCGCACGGGTACCGATAAGCTCCGCAAGGCGACGGATCATCTCCAGCTCGGGCTGAGTCGCCTTGATCTTGAGCTTGCGCTCCAGGAGCTCCTCCGTCTCCTGGAGGTTCTCATACGGATCCTCCTCGATGGCGGCCAAGAAGGACGAGTCCAGGAGGTAGGGCTTGCGCAGCTCCGAGGTGTTTTGGCCGTTGAAGATGAGACCCGGGTGGGTCTCCAGCAGGTCAACCAGGGCGAGACGGAAGATCTCACCCAAGTAAAGACCGGCGGTCATCTTCTCGAAAGCCTGCTGGCCGGGACGGGGAGAGTCCCGGTCGATGATGTGATCATACTTGGTGAGGGGGAGCACAATGTGCTCGTTGTCGAATGCGCCATACTCGCAGTTGATGGCGACGGGCATATCGGCGGGCAGGTTCATGTGGCCAAGCTTGGGGATAGAGCCCGCATTCTCCATGTAGGCGGCGTTAACACCAGTGCCGAAGATGCAGCCAATCTTCATAGCAGGGTCGGTGTACGCAGACGCGATGAGGGTTCCGGTAGTATCGTTAATCAAGGCAGCAACCTTGATAGGCAGGCCCTGTAGGTCGCGAGTGTATCACATTAGCACGCCTCAACCCAAAATACGCATGGAAGAGACCCACCTTGTCCTTGAGAATCTTCTCCAGAGGAGGAACGACGTCGTGGCCCTCCACTCCATCAATATCAAAGCCCTTGGTCCAACGCTGCAGGACACCGTGGTCGATGTAATCCTGGGTGGCGGGATAGGAGAAGGTGAAACCCAAGGGAAGCTTAGAGAGCTCCTCGCCCTCGTGGTGAGACTCAATAAACTGCTGCAGACAGTCGGCGATGTACTCCCACAGCTCCTCAGCAGTGCCGGTTCTGAGCTCCTCGGGCATACGGTACTTGGACTGGGTGATGTCGAAGCCACCCTTCTCCTTGGTCAAGGTGATTTCACAGACACGCAAGTTGGTACCACCCATATCCAAGGCGAGGAAAGTTCCCTGTTCATCACCATCGGGGAATCCCATGACCCAGGTGACATTCATGGGCTGAGGTGAAGCCAGCCAGTTAGTCGATCCAATCCTTATCGATGGCGGAGCTAATTGCCCGGTCAGGCCATACTCACAATGTTTCCACCCTCGACACTAAGACCTGTTCACGCTCAACTCAGACCTAGTCAGCTGCAAGAAAATCATTGGAGTTGTGTGAATGGTTTGTAAATTGATGTAGGTATAGAAAATGTCGAATTTTCGTGATTGTGTGTTTGTTGTTGTTCAAGGGGAGGGAAGAAGCTCTATGACGTACCCTTCTCCAATTCCTTCACAAAGTGGTCGACAACCTTCTTGAGTGTGGCACAGTCGACGGTAAACATATTCTCAAACTCCTTGATCTGCTGCAGGAGGTTTTGGGGCACATCGGCCATGGATCCTATGGTCGGGTCAATTGGAATTCGGCATCCCGAGGAGGGAATGGAAGGGAAGGAGGCGTACCCTTGCGGGAAGGGGGGCGCTTGGGACCGAGTCCAACCATTGTGAATAGTGAATGATTAAAAGGGTATTGGAAAAACAACAACGAATGGGATGTTGATGGGGATGAACAGCAACTGAAGGAGAGAGGTTAATGGAAGGGAGAAGGGAGAGGGTGTAAGAGGGAGAAGCAGGAGAAGAATGAGACAAGAGGAGCGAGAGAAAGAAAGACAGCGATGACGACGTGGGGCAAAAGGTCGGGTTTGGCGGGGAATATTATCGGGGGCAACTGGCCACTCGGCGCGGGTCTCCCTCACCGGTGACTGGCTTGGGTCGCGGCGGGTCAAAATAAATACGATGTCTAGTCAATAATTTTCCTCAATTGTAATCCTTGAAACATGATCGGTCTTTATATATATGGAGTCTCGAGTGGGCAATGGCGCCAGGGGGATCCGACTGTTCCCACTTTCCTTCTGCGGAGTTCAAGAATGCTCAGATGGTGGAGGTGGGGGGAAGAGGAAGGAGGGGATTGCTATAGGGCTGGGGATTGACTACTCTCACCAGCCATCAACTTCCAAAATCCTAATGCATTTGGATTCCTGTTCTATCATTACTATATGCGGATATAATTCTTGCCTTAGTCTGTCTTTGTTTTATCGATCGTCTACTCATCAGGGTCATTAGAATTCATCAGCAAAACCCCCCTCGCGGTCGAGACGCCCGAATCCGGGCGGAATGGTCGACCAGCCACCTAAACCAATCTTTCACCCTCTCATGCCCATCCCGTCTTCGTCAAAAGCCAATAAGCCATAACTTAACGTCTTGTTTAGAAACTTTCCGATCTATCATCTTCTTTTGTGGCCCGTGTCAGATGAGGGAAGACATGGGCCAGCCCTTCAGTGCTTGTCTCCCCCGCATGCGAGCTGCTGCTGTTATTCGCCGGATCGGTTCGATCTGCGCGATCCGCTTTCCCCGCGACGGCTCCCCCTAATTGTTGGCGGACACGTTGTTCGTAGGCCTGCGAAATACCCAGCGTGCGATCGACCTCTTCCGTGAGACGCTCGACTTCCTGCTGTAACTGCTCTTCGCGCGTCCGAAGCGGTGTATCCTCTACCGTCTGTGCGCCGGATTCCTCCGGCAATTTGGTGGCTTCCCACAGCGCCTCCAACTCCTCCTCCCAGCCCAGAGCGCGAGCGAATCGACGCACCCCAGTATCGCAATCCCCCAGTACCAGGACGTCGTCTGGGCGCGACCCCAGTCCTCCGACCCGCTCCATATTGATCAGCACCCGCGGTATCCCATAGCGACAGAACCCGGGCAAGCTAGCAAACGGTTGCACCGTCAGACTAGTGCCCATGACAATGCAGAGATCGGCCTGTTCGGGCAAATCGCTGCTGCTAAAGAAGTCCGAGGGTAGCGCTTCCCCAAAGAAAACAATATCCGGCTTCACAGGCCCGTTGCATTCTGGACAGTAAGGCACCTCTCCCTTAGCAATGGCTGCCTTCATCTGGTCCTCTGGGTAGTCCGCCTTGCAGTCGATACACCGCTGGGTTGCAAAGCTCCCGTGAGCCTCAACGATCATCTCCCCCGGCACCCCTGCCAGACGCTCAAGGCAGTCGATGTTCTGCGAGAAATGTTTTAGTAGGCGCCCCTTGTCGTAGAGCAGTTTGATGAACGAGTGTGCGATCGTGGGTCGGTATCGGCCCGGAGCGAGCTCGCGGGCCAAGGTGTAGAAGGGCTTGGGGTTCTCGCGGAAGAAACTGATGTCGAATACGGCTTCAGGATCGGGTAGATCTAGGTAGGCCAGGTTGGAATAGATGCCCGTGTCAGGGGAGCGGAAATCGGGAATGCCGGCCGAGGTGCTGATGCCTGCACCCACCTGATTGCCAAGTTTCTCTTGTCAGAAACTACTCTGTTTTGGGGTCCGGAGATGTCTTACCATAACCACAATGCGTCGCACATCTTTCTCAAGGATATACTTGGCAACTGCCTCGATGGTACGCTTCTCCAGCACGGACGGGGGGGCCTTCTCGTCCACGCCAGTGGAGGATTCGTTGCCCATGATGCGAGCAACACGACCAATTCAAGGCCGTACTTGATGGGATGATAATGTAAGCGATGATTCGTGCGCACTAGTAGTTATGGCGCGTCGAGAAGAGTGTGATCCCCTGAGACATGAAAGAAATAGCCGAAAGTGGCGTGCAAGGCAATGGGAAGAAATTCCGAAATGACGTCGAGATGAAAAACGGTCAATTTCCGAAAAAAGAAAAGCCCATCATCAACATTAGCTGCTCTTCCGCCTCAGGTGTCAACCATCTGCAACTCGGTATAAACAGCTACACTCACCAGCCTGATCACTCCTCGACAACGAGTCGGGCTTGTATTAAGAAGCTATCTACCTTCACTTAAGACTTCGCGATTTAGCTTTTCCATCTCTTGAATAAAGCAGAATTATGTTTACTACAGTTTATCAATGTGCTGTAATTCACACCTAAGGCAGCAAGCCCCGCCCGCTGACCGCCTTCTGTAATAATGCCATGTTGTTCGGAATGGCTTCGATGGCCTCCTTTCCTTCCATCCTTCGGAATAACACATTGACTGCTGTCGCAGCCCAGAGCTGCTCGCTTTTCTTATCGGCAATGGCCAACCCTTCCCTTGGCAAGGTCAATGGCCACCCTGACGCCGGACTCCGCCCAACCAACACCGTCTCTACCGTCTTCAACGCCAGCTCCGTCGCCGAGATCAAGGCCACGCTGTCTCACCTACATGAGCGAGAAGCTTCTGTGACTGCCCGCCTAGATGCTCTTGTAGCTTCTCAGAAGGACTTCTCGCGCGAACTTGGACGCTTAGATCTGCTTCGTGCAAACCTGGGCTCACAAACTAGTACCACGCGTGCCATCAGCCATGGCATGCTCGCCGATGCGGCCACTACCGCCGATCGGATTTCCAGCGCAGTTCGTCGTCTAGACCGCGAACAATCTCGTGTGAAGGCTACCCTCGCTGTGGTAGACCAGGTTGCTGAGCTAAAGGCATGTGTACTGGGAGTGGCTGGCTCGATGGGGGCCCCGCAGGATTGGGAGACTGCGGCGAGCTACCTGCACCGCGCAGCCAAGATCCCCCCGGAGGTGGTCCATGGGGCCTTCGCGGCGGAGATGGTGCCCACCGCGGAGGTGCCTGACCCGCCTCATGTCACCCTCGACAACGCCGCCGAGTCACTTTGCGGTCTCTTCCTGCGCGAATTCGACAAGGCCGTCCAGGAGAACAATGGTGCCCGCATCACTCGCTTTTTCAAGCTCTTTCCTCTGATTGGCCGCTCCGAGGTAGGTCTCGACGTCTACGGCCGCTACGTCTGTCAGGGTGTTGCCGCTCGCGCTCGATCCAATCTTAATGCCTCCGGCGGCCAGGCCAAAGACGGCTTCTTCTATGCCAGCGCACTCACCAAGCTGTTCGAACATATCGCCCAGATTATTGACGGCCACGGCAGCCTCGTCGAGCGTCATTACGGCCCGCGCAAGATGAACCGCGTCATTGAGCGCCTCCAGCTTGAGGCTGATGTTCAGGGTGGCATCATCCTTGACACGTGGAGCGATGAGCGCCACGTAGATCGCAAGCTGACCGATATCAAATCGTATGCCTTTACTTTCCTCGTGCAGAGCTTCTTGCCGCCCCAGCGCGGCGGTGGCACGCCTCGATCCCTTTCACCTGCCACCCGCGACGGAGCCGCCGAGGATGAGGGCGTCGACATGAAGGAGATCGACGGGCTCCTCAACGAGATGGCCGTTATGCTAGGACGCTGGTCGTTATACTGCCGCTTCCTAGCAGACACCTGTAATGTTGTTTGCCTTGCTGATTTCCCCGAAATTGTAACCTGATACTGACTAAGTGCCAGCCTCCGGGTGAGAATGATTCCACCAACCAGTTCGCCCTTCCCGAGTTTCTTCGCGAATCCTCCCTTGCTAGAAAGATCAATGAACGTCTTGCCGCTCCTTTCAACACTATGACGACTTTCTTCTTCCGTCGATCCGTAGAAAAAGCCTTTCAGCTCGACGAGCAACCATCCGGCCTGACTCTCAACCCGCATAAGCCGCTGAAGGCCGACCCACCACACATTACCTCCGCTGTTGACGACATCATGTACATTGTCAACAAAGTCCTACAGCAGTCCCTTGCAACCTCGCAGATTGGCGTCGTCACCAACGTCGTCCCGACGGTTTCGCGCGTCCTCGGCTCTGACTTCATCGGCATGACCCAGCGGAAGATGCGTGACGAATGCTATCCGCGCGCCGCGGTCCAAGGCGCCCAGCCTCCGGAATCGCTCACCATCTCCTTCCTCGTGCTCATCAACAACCTCGACGTCGCAATCGACTACATCCGGCGCATCCTTCACAAACATACGGAACAGAAGATTGCCAGCCAATCCGAACCTTCGTCCACCACCACCACCACCACCACCACCACCACCACCACCACCGACCCCATCCAGGCCCTGTTCCCCAGCCCCACAGAAACCCAACTGGCATCTCAAACCCTACACTCCCTCGCCAGCACCTTCGAGTCCAAGGTCACCGACCTCCTTAACGATGGCATCCAAGTCATCTTCAACAACGTCATCAAACACCGCCTCCGGCCCATCCTGTCGGACGCCTTCCGCGAGATCGAATACCAGCCCCGGGACGACAACGACCCCATCCGTACGGTCTACAACGCCCCGGCGATCCCCAGCATGAACGAGTATTACGACTCGGACGACCCGATCATCGGCGCCCCCGACGCGGCGGCCGCCGACGGGGAAGCCGACCCGGGCGCGGAGCTGGTGCGCCCGCGCTTCGCGACCGCGTGGAACGAGTTGCTCCTCCCCATCAGTCGCATCCTCACCGCCTCGGCCTTCGACCGCCTCCTGACCGTCACGGTGGCGTATCTGGCGCGGCTCCTGGAGAAGAGACTCTGGAGCTACCACGGCCGGGTCAACGCGCTCGGGGCGACGCGGCTCGAGCGCGACGTCTCCGGCGTGGTCGGCGCAGCGGTGGACGTCGGCGGCTCGCAGGGCCGGTATCGGCACCGTGACGCGTTCGTGCGCTGTCTGCAGATGGTGCTGGTGATGGGCATGGACGAGGACGAGTGGGAGGATGTGATGCGCGGCGGGGAGACGGCGGAAGTCGTCGAGAAGCTGAGTCGGGAGGAGAGGATGAGGGTTCGGGCCATGGTGCGACGAGCTTAAGACCCCCTTGCATTCCGATCCAGTCTTAGAGGCAGTGTACTCAGTCAGAGTGACTAGCTAAACGTACATGAGAGGGAAGGGAACCGTCCACCCCATTTTGCCCCGTCAAGAGGCTTGCATGTAGGTGATATGAATGTACAGTAACATATATACAGAGGGTGCACATTAGCGATGAGTGAAATTAGTCGTATGTACTTATAAACTGCATGTTGTATCAAATTCCGAGGGTTCGTGTCAAGGCTATTGGGCGAGGAACGATCAATGCCCGCTAATCAAAGAAGATTATTTGCTTCCAGCTACTGTGTACTTCAAACATAAAATAGTACAGTGGGTTGCAGCTCTGCCATGGGAACCACGTGCCGTGGAGACCCGCTGGCCATGCATGTGACAAATTAGCTAGACGATGATCCATGAGCTTTCTTCTCCTCAGGCCGGACGACAACTGAGCCAGTGGTGTGAGCGAGTTAGTGTCGGTGATAATCTGAAATTACCTCCTGATAAAATCACCTTGAATGGCTTATCTAATTTGAATGCACCGTCATCGAGTTATATATGTTTTCTCAAATTAATCTTTTCCCAAATTAATCAAATCTATGCTTGTGCTGGTATCAATCCTGAACACTGAAGAAAATCCTCCCGCCAGCTAAAGAAGCTAGTATATACAAAGCACCCAGCAGAGAGGTATACAGAACCCGCGGGTGTGCTGACCCAACATAACGCCATGTTTAATGAAAAAAAAAAAAAAAAAAAAAACGATAATCCGAAGAGTAATCCCCACTCCCGAAAGGAAAAAATACACAGAAAATGGAGGACAACCGCAAAAGCTGGCTCGGGGGCAAGGCGACGCTGGATATCATAATAGAACAGAAAAACAGATAACAAATATGCGAGATGCTCGTCAGGCGTCGATCTTCTCCTGCATGGGAATCGCCGCTACCGGCTCTCCCATAGGCTCGGGCTCGTGTGCCGGATGGTGCTCGGCCACTTGGCGCGGCGCCGGCGCCATCTTGATCTCCTGAATGCCCGAGTCGCCTTCGCTGCATCCACGACTGTCAACGCCAACCGGGGCGTGTCCGTCTAGCATCATTTCGCTGTGCTCGCCAATACCGTACCGCGCTGCAGCAGGAATCTCGTGGCCATCCTCCAGCTGGTCGTGCTTCTGGGGAGTCCAGGCCAAGTAGTCACGGCGGACTTCCACATAATCGTAGGCGAATTCACCCAGTTGATCGTCGTCCATACCCAAAAGTTCTGCTTCCTCCGAGGCGCGCAGCTTGAGACCGGGAATGGCGTTGATGGCGTATGCAATGATGGCAGACATGATGAAGGCGTAGGAGCAAGTGGCGACGACGTAGGCAATTTGAATGTATAGTTGTTTCCAGTTGTGAATAATCCAACCACCCGAGCCGGATCCCGTGTTGACTCCGTCCAGCCCGACGATCGCATCATCTGCGAAGAAGGCGTTGAAAATCAAACCGACGATACCCGCAATACCGTGCTCAGCAAGCACATCCATGGAGTCATCAATTCCAACCCAGTATTTCACTGTACTTATTAGAATCAGTGTATTCATGCAGTGGAGGTATGATCGGACTTACCCTTGGTGGAGTAGTTGCAAACAATGCCAGTAACGACACCCAGAATCACGCTGGCCCAGGGAGGGATATAACCCGAGGCCGGGGTAGCTGCGACGAGGCCAGAGATAGTGCCGGAACACCAGCCGACCATGGACCACTTGCGTGCAAGACGCCAATCGAGCAAAACCCAGGTCATGGCCGCGAACGCTCCAGTCAGATTGGTATTCCAGCACGCCATGGTGGCACGCAAGTTAGCGCCAAAAGCCGAGCCACCGTTAAATCCCAACCATCCAAACCAAAGAAAGACAGTCCCCAGCAGGATAAGCGACACGTTGTGCGGGCGGAAGTTGAGCATCATCCGCTCCTGACGGCGACCTAGGACCATGGAGTAGGCAAAAGCAGACAGCCCGGACCCGATCTCAACGGGGCCGCCACCCGCATAATCCAAGACACCATACTTGTATGCCCACCCATTCACATTCCAGGCCCAACATGCCAATGGGCAGTAGACAATGGTGGCCCAAATGAAAACAAACACCATGGCCGGTAGCATACGACCTCTTTCAGCTACGGCTCCCATGATGATAGCTGCCGTTACACCACAGAATTGCATCTGAAAACCAGAAACAAGGGTCAGTCTCCTGGAGAAATCCATGAACAAGGCGGGGGAGTGTACCTGATAGAAGGCATAGAGCAGATTTGGGATGAGAGGAGATCCAGGGCTGGGATCGGCGAGCGTCTTCATGAGACCGAAATTGCGCAAGTTGCCGATGTATCCGTTGGTGGCGGTGGGTGAGAAGGCGAGGGAGTAGCCCCAGAAGTACCATTGAAACGTGACGACGGAGAACGAAGCCATACAGGCCCAGATCATGCTGAGAGCCGACTTTCGACGGGCAAGACCAGAGTATAGGAACGCTAGACCGGGAATCATGACCATGACCATGGCAGCGGACACGATGATGAAGGCCTGGTCTCCGGATTGGAACCATTTGTTCAGGTTCTCCGTTCCTATGACCGGGGTAAGCATTGATGTGAGGGGCAATGGGAGACTATCTAGCCCGCATAGGATCACATACGAGAATCGCCTCCCAGTTCATTGGTAGCAAGGGCTTCGTAATCGGAGGGTGCGCCCGTCCAGTTGTATGACGCATATTTAGGGATGTAGACGCCGATGTTGCCCGGCATTGTGACGGTTTATTTGGCGGATAGTGTAGATTCAAAGCAAACTTGTTGAGGTGATATGGCGAGAATGTTGAGAGCAAATTGAGTCACCACCGCCCAAGTTGTCCTCACGCTGAGAACTGGCGGATGGCGGAGGGGTGAAGTGACGAGATGAACCAGTGACAGGTTGTCGATTGATACCAAATATTCTTCCTTCTGTTATGACCAAGGGTATCAGGTGATTCGAGGAGGGAGCTGGGGAGAAGTCAAGCACGGAAAGAGGGTGAGTAGGAAGAGCGTGACAAAAGAAGGTTCGGAAGGGGAGGGAGGGAGGAATCGGGATTTTGAAGGCGTAGTCAACCCGAAATCGGAATGATTGACGGAATCAACGTCAGTGGAGAGGGAGAGATGGTACGGAGAAGGAGGGGGGAGGGGGAGAGAAGAGTGGAAAGGGAGGGAAAGAGGAATTGAGAGGCGAAGAGGAGGAAGAGGATGGATGAAGTAAGTCGGGGGTAGTAGTAGGAGGAGTAGGAGGAGTCTAGTATGCGTAGTAGAACTCCGCCGTCGGATGTGGAGAAGGAGAAACCGCCACGGGGCGGAGGCGTGGGCAAGATATAAATACGAAGTGTAATTGACTGGCAACGAGTTTTCTGGAAAAGACACCGGGGTGGGTCGACTCAAAACCACAGGACGCTTGAGTATTAAGTGGTAGATATAGAGTGGGAATGCCTCCCTGGAGTTTGAACTCTTCTGTTCTGTTCTGAATTGAAGCAAGAATGGATCCCGATCCCCCCCGTTGGGCACCGGAAGTCAAGGTGGAGCTGGTTTTTTCACGGTGAACCGAAGAATTGCTATGCTCCCAGGCCCAGATGAAACCGATCGGCCCTGTCTGGCTGGAACTGCGCCGAAAAGCGAGAGATAAGCAGCTGGAAGGCTTTCAGGCAACCTTGATGGAGGGAAAGTGAGAATGAAGATGAGAATGAGAACGAGGAGGAGGAGGAAGATGATGAAATGGAAAAGAAGCTCATGATGATGGACTGGACGGGAAAAATAAAAAGACTATCGGGAAAAGAAACTTCAAGGTAAAAAAAAAATAAAAAATTCAAATAATAAATTGAAAATTGAAATTCGAAATAAGGTGGTCAATCTGAGGGCGTGCGATAACGAAGGGAGTGAAAGAGTTGAAAAATCAAATGGGATAAAATAAACTCGGGCCCGACGATCCTCGACCGAACGGCGAACCCTTGCAACTTCCCTCAATGATAATTGCCAGCACTGGTGCATACATCAACTGTACATTCATGTATTGATTGATGAGGAGAGCAGTCAATCTAGAATACTCTCATTCGTTAGCTATGAACATTTCTCATCGTCCATCTTCCATCTTCCGTCTTTCTTCATCGACTGTGCCAAGTCAATGGCTCTCTTCAGCTTTATCTGTCCGTCAATCCGTCCACCAGCCAATGTTCTTCTCGAGTCGATTATTCCCTCGTGGCAAAAGCCGGGAAAGGGACGGGGCAGACCACCCCGAAACCAGGCAAGGCTCGGTATGCGCCTACAGAATGCGGTTTAGTCGGTGGCACCCCCTGCCCAATCCTACTGAATCAAATCAGCTATCTACATAGTATATTCTATGTAGACACATATCAGAAGCACAGGGAATGCTTCCTGCGTCCTGACTGTCGCGCGACAGCGGAGGAATCCTGGGGTCAACAAATAAGCTGGTCACCCTACCCTGTCAGCCCCGGATGACCGTCATCAGCATCAACTGCTCTCGACTTCGGTATCACAATCAAGGTTACGAGATACCATCCATCCCGCTCGCTTCCATTGGCCTCACCATTGGCGGACAAGAAGTACTGCCCAGACCTGACCCTCCGATGCATCAGGACAGTAGAGGGGTCACTGAAGCAAGTGGCTTGAGAGCTGTTGGTTGTGGAGGATATAATGCACTGGTGGTATGTACTGTCAGTACTGTCAGTACTGTACATTGACCATTCATCCTAGTGCATGTATGGATCAGCCCTCCATCACCGTCCGCCTCTCCATCAACATTGACAATGTGGTCCGGCTGGTCTGGCGAGAAGAAAAAAATATCCCCCGACATTCAATGGGACAACAGGGCTCGATGAACTTGTATTTATGCCTACGGACCTCCGGGCAGCTACGGTAGGGAGATAGCTACGTATCATGCATCCTATCGACCTCGCTTCCCTATCGCTCCTTCCCGACGATAACAAAACGGACAGCGGTCGGCTTGAAGCATAAGAGTGCATCTGAATGCCTACTTTACTACTGGCCGTAAGTAGAGGTCGCTTACTGCTGGTTTTCCAGGCATCGCATTTTTGAGACTTGGCACTCCGGCACGATGTCCCCCATGAATGATATTGGTTCTGGTCCAAGCAGTCGTCCCTATACAGTACCCGCGGACCAGAAACAAGAAACAATTTCAAGGTTGCGTACGGAGACTCCTTGCCCTGTCCCCCAGATGGACTATCACCATTACGAATGATACGAAAACTCTCTTGCGGAGGAGTGTCGATCCCAGGTTGTCCCAGG